ATCACATAAACATAGTTTAATAGTTTAGTAGTTGATGTTTAAACTCTGTATTTCAATTTTGTTATTAGTTAAATAATTTAGTTCTCATAATATCTCAACATTCGAAATTAGTGACAATAATTGGATTTTGACTTTCTGTGAATTTCCTAGTAAATTTATCATTTCAAATTTAAACATTTCCTGTGGGATCGATATTTAGGGCTTAAATAGAAAGTCCTTTATTACTTGATAACGATGCGTATACTTGCTTAGAATCCCAATATTAATTGCTTTAATTTCTAATTCATAAAATATTGCATCAAACCTTTGGCACCGTTGCATAGCGGAGTCAACTATATAATTTGTACACAACTATATTCACATCAGGATCAAGGGGGTAAAGAATATGTATGCTCCTATTTGTCACAATGCCACATTTGATTTTTACATTCTATTCCTACACTAATTATGATCTCATCGCTTGGGTAAAGGGATTTTAATTATTTAAGATCTTTCCAAATTATACTAGTCTCATCAGATTTGTTTTTTATTTAATTTAGTTAATTATAATTTTAGCTTAAATTAGTGAATTTAGGAAAATCAAATTTTTCAAAAATTTCAAACTAAGTCCTGATAGTAGTAGACTAGAATTAGCCTAAGAGATTTCTTACCTCGCTTTTCTGTGGGATCAATACTGGGGTCTTAAAAGAAAATATTATATTACATGAATGATACATATACTTGCGTAGAAACTTGCGTAGAACCCTTGTGTGAAATATAAATCAAATTCTAAATTTTATTAAATATTATTTTGCACACTAGTCGCTTAAATATAAAATGGGTCAAGTTTTTTGTTATCTTTTGGAGCTTAAAAATTTATGTAATTGCGTGTCGGGTCAGGCACCCATCAAACTAACTTAGGTTTTCAAACTCAGACTAACTTGGGCTAGGTGTATGATACCAGTTTGATATCTATATTAGCTAACTTAAGTTTTATGTCAGATCTACATAAGTTAAATTTGGATGTTTGTGGAGAAAAATAATCTTGTGATAGGTTTTCATCATTATTTTTATTTATCATTATTTTTATTATTTTTGTTTTGACTACAAGTTAAATGAAATATAAAATGACACATGAAACAAAACAAACAACATACATTTATCCTTGGATTAGACTAGGTTAGGATTGAGTTGAGCTGAGCAAGATTTCCAGCTTGGGTCAGCTCACAATTGAGCTCAAATATGATATGGGCTAGTTGGTTTAAACTTGGGTTTGGGGTGGTTTAAATCTGAGTTGCACCTGAGTTGACCTAGGTGAGACCCATGTTGATCTGTGTCGAACTTGGGTGGACCTGGGTTAGGTTTGGGTTGAGCTGAATCAAACTTGTGTTGGACCTGGGTTGACCTTTAGGATAGACCTAGGTTGGATCTAAATTAACCTGGGTTTAGGTTAATACAAATCTGAGTTGGGTCAAGTCAGACATGTCAAACCAAGATCAATTGAGGTTGGTTTAGGTCGGGTTTGATTTGGATTAAGATTAGGTCAGATTTGGGTTGGATTAAGTTTAGGTCATGTGGTTTAGGCTGGGTTTGAGTCAACTTGAGTCGAACCCAAATCAATCGAGTTGGTTAACCTAGCCTAAACATAAGATTAAAATATATTGCTTGAATTTAAAATGAAAGAGGAGGAAAAGAAAAACTTAATAGAGAGGAGGCTAATCGGAAGGGGCTCAATGGAGGAGATTTCTTCCTTCTTCTTCCTCTATTCTAATTACTCGAAGTCTATAAGCACCCAAAGATAGTGGAAATGCCACCTATTTATAAGCAATTAAGGCCATCTGTGGCCATTGATTGGTTGATGAATCGATGACACAATCATTTTGGTGCAAGAGATTACCACCGGCAAAGCAACAAAAAACAATTCATCATTGGATCTGTGGAAGATGGTGTTGGATTGGTGGCATGGCGGAGGAAGTGATGACACTAGCATGCAAAGAAACAATTGAGCATGATCATGCCTGATCTGAGCTTGACCACGCCGACATACTTTTAGGCGTGCTCACACCTAAAATGGGCGTGACCACGCCAAGATACTTGCAGGCATGGTCACGCCCATGCCTGACGTGATCATATCAGGCCAAAGATTGGCCTAACTATACTAGGGTCTAACTGGCTACAACGGACCAAAGACCAAAGGGTAACGCACCTGTAAGTAATATGTGACCAATTATGAGGTCGACAGTGGGAGGTATAAGAACATTATTATACTTCTTTACATTAATATGGATTTTGTTAGGTTCCACCATCTAAATGAATATTTTTTATTGTTGTAAATTGAGTGGTATCTAAATAGCACTTCCTACTTTATTTGGGCAAAGGTGGCTACCTATTCATGGTTTTTTAGTTCTAGCATTTCTTATTGAAACCTCACTATTAAATTTTTAAGCCACTTGATTCCTATCTCATTTTTAGTACGCCTATGATTATTCATGGGTCTTAGAGAACAAGTGAACTCAGCAGCGAACATCCTTTTAAAGTATCAAAATTAGTGATGACTCCTAACAGAGTAAGTGAGATCCATCAGAAGGGAAACTTCTTAAAAGTAGTAATAAGTCAAAGGCATTTCACAACACCGTTTATGTCAAACAGTATGATGATTAACTCGAAGTATGCCATATGATTAGGTGGATTCATGTTTCCCCTATATGACTTCAAGTGTGGGATCTTAATTATAATTTTTTGTGATATTTTTGCAAAAGTTGTTTGTCAATTGGAATCTCCTTCTAGGATTTTCAATGGTTGAGGGGGCTCCATAATACTTTCAGGATGTAAGTCTCATCCTAAGCAAATATAGAAATTTGTGCAATAGCACTTGAAAGCTATCTTTGCAAGAAGAACTTTAAGGAGATTCTGGTGTCTCCACTCTTAGGACTGCATAGTGAGTATGCCTTAGAGCTACATAGATTCTCTGAGTGCCTTAATGCTACAACGAAACTTGGTTTAGGGAGCTCCTTTGCTTTGTTATTTAAAATGCACTTTTTTTAGTGTACACTGGTCTATTACAAATAGTAGTCCTTTATAAGATAAATACACATGTGAAGGTATTAAGAAAAAAAAACATAAAGTAATTTAATCACAATCAAACAAATCAAGCATGAATCCATCATAAAAAATAATTTATTAACCAACTGTTCTTGTATAATTACAAAATTGACACATGAAAAATTTCAAGTATGATAATTGATGGCATGCCCAAATATGACAAGTTCAACTAAAGAATGAGTCGACTTATCAGTTGACCATGTCTTCTTCTGACTATATGCCTCTACTTTTCTTTCTTTTGTTCGCTGCTATCAAATATTTAAATTAAAGTAACACAGTATGGCCTCAAGAAGCTCCATGTATTTCCATTCTCAAGTGACCTATACATTTTGGTTACATTTAGATCTTCCAAGGAACTCCAATGTCAATTGTGTAAAGGCTGACGATTTATCTGCGAGAAGCTCACTAGGTGATCCGAACTCCAAAATCTTTCCTGATTAAACACAAAATTCAAATGTTAATTTTATTTATTTTTTACATAAGCTCTCAGATACACTTATTTTAAGTTGCAGTTATTGTATTGTATTTATTATTACTTCCATAGAGAACCTTTCATTTTCAGAAAATCCCAATTGGTTTAGATCAAGTAATTTAGATTATTTTAGTGAAGTAGATTTTTTTCCCCTTTCATACCTTCATTGAGCACCATAACTAAATCACAGTTAATTATAGTGAGAATTCTGTGTGCCACTGTGATTACAGTGCAACAACCAGTTTCTTCTCTTATGGTCTTCTGAATAAAACTATCTGTTGCGGTGTCTACTGACGCTGTAGCCTCATCCAAAAAAAGAATCTTTCTATTCTTAAGCAAAACCCTTGCAAGGCAGGTGAGTTGTCTCTGCCCCATGCTCCAATTTTCTCCATCTTCTGCAACTGAATAACATACATTTTTCTCAAAAAGTATACTATTTTCCTCACGTGTTAATCTATAATGGCTTAAAATATTTAGACTGCTCATTTTTTTATGACATGCCTCTCAACCATCTCTGTATTGTTTGCTTCTCTTAGTGGCCTAAAGGTTTTGTCCCATTTGTGTAACTTCTCAGAAGGTCACCCATTATTGGAATGCACTAGCACGAGCACATTTAGCTTTTTATTGAAATTCTACCATTATACCAAAAGATGCCTCTATCATTAAGATTTTGGCTTCAATCTATTTAAGGGGTTTCACAATCTCTCCCACTTAAGTAGATGACATCATCATTAGTGCTCTATACCCAGAATCATCCATCATATAGATGGGATTCTAGAGGTTGCTTCTACAAATTTAAGATGTGGTTCCCACCATGTAGCACTTTGCCTCATCTAGGGCTCAAGAGGTGGCTCCCATGTCCTAACATTTTATTTTGTAAGACATTTAGTTCCCATCTTTCGGCTGGGGCAGTGCTCACCAATGGGGCACAATCATTAGGTCACTAGGCTGAAGCCAACAATAGCTTAATGGGTGAGAGTTCTGGCTGTCACAGTTTTTTCTACTAATGCTTAGATACTTATGTTTTGAGGTAAAATCTTTCTGTGAGACAAGATACCTGGAGCATCCAGCAGTCTGCTGTCTTGTCTGATGATTTTCACCAGCTGACACTTGCGTAGAGCCTACAGGCAATCCAAATTTTATATTTCCTGTTGAATTAGAATCTCCAAATCGACAAAGAAATCAATTTTGTGCTTACCTCCCAGATTTCTAAATCTGAATGTTCTTCTAAAGGATCCAAATTTGTCCTCACTGTTCCTTGGAACAGTGTTGGATCCTGAGGAATTATGCTTAGCCGGGATCTCAGATCAGACAATCCAATACTGCAAACATCTCTGCCGTCAATTATGATCCTCCCTAAAGATGGTTCCACCATTCTGAAAATAGCTTGTATCAGTGTGGATTTCCCACTTCCAGTTCTGCCTACAACACCAACTTTCTTCTCCCCTGGGATTATGCAGCTAATGCCTTTTAGAACCATAGGAAGTCCTGTGTTATACTGAATATGAAGGTTTTCAAGCTCTATGGTTCCATATTTTGGCCATTCTTGCTCTGGTCTGTTGTTCTCAATTACCAATGGCGCCTCACAGGTTATGCTGGAAAACTGCAGTATTCTCTCCACAGATACCATCTTGTTCTCCACATTGCAGAGGTTCCATATCACCCAAGCTTGCAATACGTTTAAATTTAAGCCATATGTAACAGCAAGTCCTGCAAGACCTGGATCCCAACTGGTATTACTATTCAATAATGCAATTTGTAAAATTTTCTTACTTGATGCTTTGTTTACTGAGAAGAGCTTACTGGGATCGATTGACTTCCTAGGCACATACACCAACATCATGAGTGCAAGGAAGAAAACAAGGTTGAAGAAAAAGTTAATTCGAAGGCAGAGCCATTCCATGGTGGCAGAATTGTGAAAAGTAATGCGAGAATAGTCATCGACCAAATCAAAGTTCTGTGCCAGAAAGCGGTCTTCCTGATTGAAGCATCGAATGGTCGGAGCGCCCGCTATAGTTTCTGAGAAATGGTGAAGAATTGGAGACTTCCTTATGCCAGTCATTCTTGCCAGTTCCCTCGCTGTGCTGATGTAGTAATTCTGCCAAATTCATTGCAATGTAGATTTTATCAAATTTCATTCATATAATAGAACCACTTATATAATTCGTTAAACTTTTGAAAAGCAGAAAGAAAGAAGGCATCTTGGATTGCTCAATGAGAATTCACCAGTTCATCCCACAAACTAAAATTTTATTCAGTTTGGAATTTCATAGCTCCTTTTCAAATTAGATAAGAAAAGGTTTATACAAACTAGATAAAGCTCCTCTTATGAAGCCATTGTACTTGTGTGTATAAAAGGCAATCAGTTTGGGATTACTTTTTTCTTTTTTCCTGTTTTGGATTTTTGTTTTCAAAAAACAGAATATAAAACTAAAAATATGTTTGTTTGCAGCTTTTCTTATCGGTCGTTTTATTTCATTTTTAAACAAAAGTTTTCTTATTTTTTCAAAAACACAAAAAAGAAAAAATTTGTTTTTCGTGTTTTCAAAAAAGCTCCCACAACTCGTTTTAAGAAAATATTGCATCATGACTCCGCATGTAGAGTTACGTGCGGAGTCCAATGAAATCACGTCACATAAAAAAAAAATAAATCTGTCCGGTAACACAAGAAAAAATATTCATCCCATGTTATTCAGGTGTTATTGTGTGTTATTCAAGTATTATTGATGTGTTATTGTATTATTTTAATACCGGTAATATTCTCAGAACACAATAACACCTGAATAGCATACAATAACACCTGAATAACACGGAATAACACAAGCGAAATATTTTCTTGTGTTACCGGGCCGATCACTTCCACGGCATAATTTCATTGGACTCCG